CTAAGTATAAGTGGACCCATGCAGTTCAAACCCATGTTGTTCAAGGGTCAACTGTATATAACACATTTCATTTATCCATTCTTCTACTGATAAACACTTGGCTTGTTTCTACCTTTTCGCTATTGTGAATAATGCTGCTATGACATTCATGTATCAGTACAAGTATCTGTTTGAATCCCTGTTTGCCATTCTTTTAGGTATAGACCTAGGAGTAGAATTGCCAGGTCATATGGTAATTTTAACGTTTTGAGGAACCACCAAACTGTTTTCCACAGTGGCTGCATCATGTTACATTCTCACCAGCAAGGTACAGGGGTCCAGTATCTCCACATTCTCCCCAAGGCTTGTTAATTCTCTCTAATCTTGTTATTTTCTGTTGTTGCTGCTTTTTAAATTATAGTTATCTTAGATGTGGGGTGGTTTCTCATTGTGGTTTTGATTTGTATTTCTCTAATGACTAATGATGTTAAGTGACTTTTTATGAGCTTAGTATAACATGCAATAAAACTTAATTTAAGGGTATAGTTTTATGACTTCTGAAAAATATATACACCCATGTAACAACCACCACAATCAAGATACAGAATATTTTCATCACCCAGAATATTCCCTTGTCCCATTCCCAACCATTTCCATCAGCACCAGGCAACCAATGGTCTGCTTGTCTCCAGAGATTAGATCTACATGCACCCCTATGTTCATAGTAGCACTATTTACAATAGCCAAGACATGGAAGCAACCTAAATGTCCATCAACAGATAAATGGATAAAGAAGATGTGTGTGTGTATTGTATGTGTGTATATATATATATAACAATAGAATATATTGTCTCTCTCTATATATAGAAGTTTATATATATATATATATAAACAATAGAATACTACCCAGCTATAAAAAAAAAACGAAATAATGCCACTTGCAGCAACATGGATGGACCTAGAGGTTATTATACTAAGTGAAGTAAGTCAGACAGAGAAACACAAATATCACGTGATATCACTTAGATGTGGAATCTAAAAAAAAAAAAAAAAAGATACAAATGGACTTATCTACAAAAAAGAAACAGACTCACAGACATAGAAAACAAACTTATGATTACCAGAGGGGAAAGGGGGAGGAAGGATAAATTAGGAGTTTGAGATTAGCAGATATAAACTAATATACATAAAAATAGACAAACAAGGTCTTACTCTATAGCACAGGGAACTATATTCAGTATCTTGTAGTAAACCATGGTGAAAAAGAATATGAAAAATATATATATTACTTAAAAGGATATATAAAAAAGAATTCTAAAACGAAAATATAAATAACTGAATTGCTTTGATGTACCCCAGAAACAAAACATTACTTTACTTTAGTTAATCAACTACACTTTAGTTAAAAAAAAGAAATGCTGATACATGATCTATCGATGAACCTTGAAGACCTTATGCTAAGTGAAATACGCCAGACACAAAAGGAAAACTATTGAATGATTCTACCTATATGAGGTACCTAGAAAAGAGAAAGAAAATAGTATAGGCGTTACTGGGGAGAGGAGGGAGGGGGGTGGGGAGTTATTGTTTAATGGGTACAGAATTTCAGTTTGAGATGATGAAAAAGTTCTGGAGGTGAACAGTGGTGATGGTTGCAGAACAACGTGTATGTACTTAATGCCACTGAACCGTACACCTAAGATGGTGTAGACATGTACTCAGATCAGTGCTGCTCAGAGTGAAAAGAATGAACATGTCAGAGGCAATGCCTCGGAGGTTCAGAGACAGCAACGATCCCCCAGACAGAGGCAGTCAGGGCAGCAGGCCTTTGGAACTTAAAACACCTAAGAATGGGGAGGCGGGCAGGGGTGGGGTGAGGGGGGTGAGTGCATTTTAGGGAGAGAGAAGAGTGAAACAAAAGCAGAGAGGAGAGGAAAGAGCCTTGCATAGTTGCTGCCCAAGAGGAAGGTGGCAGGTCTAGCGCGGGCCTTCTCCGAGCACTTTTCGGCTGGGGTTACGGGCTAGAATTGTTTCCACCACTGTGGGGTCCATTGTCGGGCTAGTGGTGTCCGTCTCATCACAATACAGATAATTTTCAAAAGGTGCTAAACATCACCTCTTCTCACTCAGAAGGACAGGGAAGCTGCTCAGAACATTTTTTTTTTAAGTCATTCTTCACTCAACACTTGCTTTTGGTGAGAATCCGCTGACTAACCCTGTCCTCCCCCCCAGGGCCATTTATCTTCTACTACTTATCTGACCTTGTCAAGCTTTGGTTCCCCCACTAAAGGAATTTCAAACATAAGACAGCAGCTGGACAGAGATTTTGTTGGATGGAGAGCCTTCCAGAAGTGCTTGGCCTTGAAAATCTTTATCTACAGATAACAAACTTCGCTGAGTGAGATGCTTTTGGAGGAAGTCACTTTAACAGCTGTACACTTAACCCCATTCCCTGGGCAAATCCCAGCCTAGGGGCCCCACGCTCCCTCCCCGTAGCAAGCAGTTACAGTCAGCATGGACTACAGCTTAAAAGGTGTCTGCCATGTCCTGAAAGCCGTTCTTGGGGGGGGGCGCTCTTGCCAGGCCCCCTCCTGAGTACAGCTGTGCAGGAGCGCTCCAGCCTACCCCCTAAAGGCCCTGGGGATGCCAGAACTTTGTGTTCTCACAGTGTTTATCCCTTGTTCACCATCCCAGAAGGAACCTCCACTGCCTCTCCTGCTGTGCTCTCCCTCCACCCTGCTCTGATTCTTCTCCCCAGTAAACACCCCTCTCCTCTCCAGAGCCTAAACCCCTCTACTATGGGGCTCACAAAGCCCTCCACACCCTCAGCCCTTACCTCCTGCAGTAGATGACACCTAGCTCCCCTGCCCCTAAGGGCTTGGCTTCCCCACGGCCCTCCCCAGCACTGGCTGCTCATTTTCTCACAGTCCGCTAGCTCAGGGTCAGGAGGTGGGGTCACCAGCCTCCCTGCTCCCCAAGGCCACATCCATTTCCCCTCCACTCTCCGAGGTTTAAGCCAGACCTCAACCCATGCCCGCCTCCCTCCTGGTCACTCCCCTTACTTACCGAAGACTTTGGCAATGGGCTCACAGCCTTCTCTCCACCCGACTGCCACCACCATCCAAGGTGGCCTCTGTGGCCCATCCATCCCACACCCTGGGCTCTCTGTCCCTTGACTTCATCTCCAAATACCTTCCCCTCCACTCCATTTCAGCCACAGCTTCCCATGGGCAGAACGTCTGAGATCCGGAACCCACACACCTGTACCCGCGTGTCATACTCTCCCAACCTTCCGGCCCATCCATCCAGTTACTCCCATCACATTAGCGCTCATTCCTCAGCAAGGCCTCAAATCCATTCATTTCTCCAATTTCTCCCAGTCTACCAGCCCCCTCTGGCCTTATGTCACTCACTCCCTACCCTGCTTGAACTGCGGGCTCCGTCCCTTCAGTTACTCTCTTGTTCAACTCCTCAACATCACCACTGTCTTTCTAACCCCAACCCTGGACAAGTCGAACAGCCTTTTTCTGTGCAGATCTCATGATGGAGAAAAGCACACAACCTAGGAGAGTGGGGCCTCCAGATCAATGGCCACACATCTCAGCTGGGTCCTCTACGCTGACCACAGTTCTCTGTCCTAGTGCCACGGGGCCCACCCTGGGGAGCACAGCACTCCTCTGACCGAAACCTGATCCATTCTCTCCAGCTCCTCGGTGGCCTTGAGCCACATTTCCTGCTCTCATCCTCCTACATGGACGACCTTTCCCCGGACCGAGAAACTTCAAGCAGCATCTAAACAAATGAAAGTACTCCGGTCTCTCTCATCTGAAAAGTACATAAATAAGCCTCTCTTGAGCACATCCCCCTCCACCCACTGCCCCATCTCTCTTCCCCTTCATAATCAGATGTCTAGCTCCCTGCCTCGATTTCCCCATCTCCTTACTCCTTGCCCTGCTGTCATCAGGCTCCTGCCTCCACCAGCCACAGCTGCTCCCACAAGGTCACAGGTGTTGCTCTGACACAGCTGACCCTCCCTCCTTGCCGGTGCCTCTGAGACATCACACTCCTGCTGTCTACCTGTATCTCAGCCCCCTCGTCCCATGACCCCTAAGGCTGCAGGTCGCCTAAGATCTCTCACAGGCCTTCTGCTCTCAAAACTTCAACTCCCATCAAACGCTGATGCCTCACAAATCTACATCTTCAGACATGTTCGGCCAACTGCCTGCTAGACTTTTCCACTCAGATGCCACAGAGGCTACCGCTCAGTGACAACATGGCCAGAACCAAATTATCTTCTCTTCAACTCACTTCTCCTCTACCTCACTCTTCTCAGTGAATGGCAGCCCCACCCATCCTGTCCCAGGGCAGACCCGCACCCAGCATATAACTAAAGATCAATATTTGCAGAAAATGAACCACTGAGCCTCCCTCATTCTCCACAGCCAATCACCACGAATTATCAATTTTACCTCCTACAATATCCCCGTGCTTCTTTCTTAATTGAGGCTGGCTGCCTCCTACACATCCTTCAGAAGGCTTCATGGACCCTAACTCCGGAGGGACAGGGATCTTGCCCGCTGTTCCCACGGCCCGTGACTGCCGCCACGGCCCGGACCACCACGCACTGTCCGGCCGGCCCTGATGAGTGACACCCCACTGCACTGGGCGCTCCATCTCCATAGCGCCCACGGCCGGGCACACAGGAGCCTCCCAGCAAGCACTGAACGGATGGAGCGAAGGAACGTAAGAGTAATGAGCGAAAGGGCCACGGATGACACGCGATCGCGGAGAGAAGGCCGGAAGGCCCTGCGACAGGCAGGACGTCTGGCTGTGCAAGCCCCGCGCCCGGAGCGGCCCCACGCGGCAGCCGAGCAGCCCCGCCCCCAAGTCACGCGGTGCTCCCCACGGCCAATGGAAACGGTCCGCTGGCCTCCTCGGCGAACGCTCCCGGCCCGCGCATGGCTTCTCAGCCAATGGGAGCAGCCTTCGTCGCCCTCGAGGCGGGGCGGGGCGGGGCGGGGCGGGGCGGGGCGCGGGCTCCTGGGATGGCGCGATTGCGGGCCTGTTCTCACGTCGCGTTCCCTCCAGCGTAGTCTAGCTAGGCTCCTGCTCTGGCAACCGACTGATGATGGGGCCTCTGGGCGCCCGGCGCGGCCTGGAGTGGCTGCTGGGCCTCTACTTCCTCTCCCACATCCCCATCACCCTGCTCGTGGACCTGCAGGCGGTGCTTCCGCGCGATCTCTACCCCGTGGAGGTGAGGGCGCCGTCTGTCCTAGCCGCCGGTCGCCGAGGTTGGCGCCCCTCGGCGTAGCGATTGCCCCGGCGTCCCCGTGATCTCCCCTCCTCCGGCCTGGCGCCCCGCCTCGCCCACTCAGGGTTCCCTCCTGCTTTCCTTGGGTCCCGCCGGCGCTCCGGGCCCTCCTTACCCTTCAACTCGACTTCTTCCTCGGGGTTTTCTTTGTCCTTCCCAGCCGCTTCCCCAAGGCTCCTGGGGCCAAACACCTTGCTCCTTTTAAAGACAGTTCTTCCCTGGGTTTAAGACTCCCACACCCCAGCTCTGGTCAGTTGTCAGTATTTGAGGGAAGTAGCCTGGATGAACCAGTGTCTAAATTATGGACATATATTGGATTTGTTTTCAAGTTGTGTTTCTTGGGAGAGCTTTAAAAATACCGACTAATCCCAAAGAAATAACGCAAGTAGTATTAGACCCCTCTAAGGGACATTCGCAGAGCGTCCTGATTTCAAGATTAGGATCCAGCAACTTCAAAAGCTCAGAAGTAAACGACACCTTTTCAAATCGGCCTCTTTTATTGGGTTTGAGCAAGAATGATCACCTGAGTAGAAACGGAGGCGAAAGCCCCATTTCCTGGTTGTTGGAGAGCATTCTTTACCCCAAACTTTAACTTTTGCTTTAAATGCTTTTTATTTATTGAGTTTTATTTTCATGTCTGGACCCTATAACCTTCTATCACGGAATTCCAGTCCTCAGTTCTACACTTCTCCAATCTGTCTGCAGAACTACAGGCAAGCCTGACGTGTCTAGTAAAGATTTGATTTTACCTCTGTTTCTCTTTAAATGCTTTTTCTCTGCAGAGCAGGGGTTCTTAACCTGAGGTCCATGAACCCCTAATGGGGTATGCAAAATTGTGTGTGCCTTGTTTTCCGTAGCTTCCATCAACTTTTCCAGGGGTCTGACCCTCCCCAAAAGGTTAAGAGCCAGTGCTCAACAATAAACCCCCACTCCGTAGTCTGGTTTGTTCCTAGCTCCAAGCATAAATGGGAAGCCCTCTGACCTACCTTTTCCTGGGAAAAGTGTAGGTTGTGTGTGGCAAGAGCATTGTCTGGGGACTTGGTTCTTCCAAGAACTTCTTGAGTTCCTTGGGCAAGTCAGGGCTCTGTAGCTTCAACTGTCAAGTAGGAGAGAGATGAGTTAAATCACAAGCTCAAACATACAAGATGTATTAGTTTCCTATTGCTTCTGTAACGAATTACAAAAATATAGTGATTTAAAACAACACGAATTTATTATCTTTCAGTTCTGGAGGTCAGAAGTTTGAAATGAGTCTTGTAGGCCTCGTTCCTTCTGAAGGTCCTAGTGGCAGATCTGTTCCTTGCCTCTTCCAGTTTCTGGTGGCTGTGGGTGTTCTTGGCTTGTGGCCACATCACATCAATCTCTGCTTCGGTCCATCACTTTGCTGCCTTTTCTTCTTTAGTCCAATCTCCCTCTGCCCAACTTTTATAAGGACACTTGTAATTACATTTAGGGCCCACCAGATAACCAGGATAGTCTTCCCATCTCCAAATCCTTAACTTAATCACATCTGCAAAGTCACTTTTGCCAAATAGGGTTACATTCATAGGTTCCAGGGATTAAGATGTGGATGTCTTTGGGATCCATTATTCAGCCTACGACACAGGCCCAGGTGGTACATGATCCTTCTAAACAGGTCGTCACAGCTCCGCATTAGCCATTAGTTGCCTTGAAGAAAGGAGAGCCATGTCTGTGCAAAGTCTGTGTGGCCAACAGAACTCAAGCAGGCTGCCTGTTCACAGTCTCTGATGTTATGAGTCCCTTTAATACTAGGCAGTCATAGGACTTCCCTGGTGGTCCAGTGGGTAAGTCTCTGCACTCCCAATTTGGGGGGCCCAGTTCGATCCCTGGTCAGGGAACTAGATCCCACACGCCTGCCGCAACGAAAATCCCGAGTGCCGCAACTAAGACCCAGCACAGGCAAAATAAATACATACATACATACATACATAGCAGTTATGTTACTCCAGGCCAACTGTTCCAGACTTAACAGCTGTTGGTTTTCCTATCTTTTGTGAATGTGCCATTCCCACAAGTTCTTGCTCTCCACTCACAAAATACAATTAAAATGTTTCCAAAATCATAAAGACCCCATTTAAACTTATATATTTGATTTGGTAGTTTTCTCAGCTTTATTTTTTTAAGTTGACTTGTTGTAAAAGGTCAAGGGCCAACATAGGCAGGATCTGACCAGAAACTCTGTAACTGTTTGTGTGTGTGTGTGTGTGTCCGTCTATGATACTGTTTAAAGACCTTAGTAACACAGGGGCCACCCAGCTTGGAAGGCCTGTGTCTGTATTCACTCTTGTTGCTTTGGGGTGGGCAATGATGGTTTTGTTGCTTCTGTATGGGGAAATAATAATAATAAAAGCCCTGAGTTATTTTCACATTCTCTTTGAAAAATGCCAAATTTTAACATCTGTTGTGTTTTTCCTCCCTAAATAGAAGGAATTTCTCCAGAACTAAAAAGCTTGTGGAGATCACATAATGGTTAGGCTAAAATTTGCAAATACCTTTCTTGGTTTGAATCAGATCAACACTTTGAAAAACTCTTACTGTGAAACAATAAGAATTTAGTTTGGATTAGAACATGGAGAGGATGGGAAGCATTTCGTAGTATCATGTGCAGCTGGGTAGCCTTGCTTCTGTTAAAATACGGGGAAACAAGTGAGCATCCAGACGCTGAAAGTTTGTGCGCTCATTCTAAGAGGAGCAGCTAAGAGGAGTTCAGTAGCAACTTCGGTCTAGAAATCCATGTGCGTAGGCCAGGTGACTATTTTAATGGATAACAATGATCAGTTGAGTCAAATGTGAGTCAGTTATAAATGGAAACAGTTTTATTTTGGGGGGTCTTACCTAATAATTATTAATGACCAGTTGCATGCTGAGATTTTAACAGGATTAAATTGAACTTCTCCAAATATGTATTACATTCAGTTAAGTAATCTTAACATTTACTGTGTGCTAGCCATTGTTCTAATGACTGTGAGTATTAACTCTTTTTATCTTACCAACAGCGAGGTAGGTACTATAACTGGGAAACAAGTTTAGTGAGATGAAGTGCTTTGCCCAGAGCCAGTACTCAGAGCCAGGCACTCAGCCCCTGGGTACCATGCTCATCACTCTGCTTGGGGGTTAAGGGTGTTGACCCTCCACAGTCGAAAATCCACGTACAGTTTATAGTCAGCCCTCCATACCCACGTTCCTATCTTCAAATTCAACCAGCCACCAACTGACCGTGTAGTACTGTAGTATTTACTGTTGAAAAAAATCTGCATATATGCAGACCTGCACAGTTCAAACCCGTGTTGTTCAAGGGTCAACTGGGTTTTAAATTTTGCTGTTATCATCCTGCAGCCCTTAGAAATTACAGTGTTGTACAAATCTGCCTGGATTTATGAAATAGGTGGATCTGAATGTATACGAATTAAATAGAAAGTGAAGTTCAAATGAACCAGAATGCCTTTTTTTAAAAAATAAATTTGTTTTTGGCTGCATTGGGTCTTTGTTGCTGCGTGTGGGCTTTCTCTAGCTGCAGCGAGCGGGGGCTACTCTTCGTTGCGGTGCGCGGGCTTCTCATTGCAGTGGCTTCTCTTGTTGCAGAGCACAGGCTCTAGGCGTGTGGGCTTCAGTTGTGGCACGCCGGCTCAGTAGTTGTGGCTCGCAGGCTCTAGAGTGCAGGCTCAGTAGTTGTGGTGCACGGGCTTAGCTGCTCCGCGGCATGTGGGATCTTCCCGGACCAGGGATCAAACCCATGTCCCCTGCATTGGCAGGCAGATTCTTAACCACTGTGCCACCAGGGAAGCCCAAATGAACCAGAATGCCTTTTAAATTCTGCAATAAATCTTTCAAAGTACATCCTTCCAATTTTTTTTTTAAGTAAATCTAGAAAGCAAGGAAGGAGCTTAAAAAATTTAGTCCAAGTTGCTTGTTTTACAGATGAGAAAATAGAGCCCAGGAGAGGTGCAGTGAATATCTCTGAATATTTTCTACCACATTACCATCCTGAAAAGTGCTTAGAAGGAAGCTAAGGATATTGCTGTGAATTTAAATTTCAAGTCAAATACAAATTCAAGATCACTTGGTCAATAAATTGATTACCTAGCTAAGGCCTTTTTGTAATTAATATTATGCTAACAGAATGTTTGTTTCTGGATGTTTGCTTAAAGCTCACTTGCAGCACAGAGGCCTCTATTTCACAATAGTGAGCCTTTATCTTTAGATTAAAAATTAACAGGGAAAATATCTTTGGATTTTCCATTGTAAGCCAAATGCTTATCTTGGAAGCTGTCTTGATTTATCATAATATCAAGATGCCATCTCCAGGAGGTTAAATGTGAAATGTGACAGACCTTCAGTAGTCTACGTAGTGTGGAGAGCCCTAGGCTTTGGGCTCTTAAAAGAGCACAAAATGGGCAGCCTCAAACCCTCCTGCTTCCTTCCCCTGCCTGCAGCCTCGTCTACATGGATCTGCATCTTTTGATTTGACAGTGTCATCACGAAGGTGGGGCCCAAGCTAGAACCGAGACCACTCACTCTCCAGAGTGAGGCAGAGTCTGTTCCTCTGCAAATATACTACTCATCTCCTAAAAGAGAAAAAAACTTTAGAATTAGGGGGGTAAAGAATGACAAGGAACTTGAGATTTGGGGATAAGTTAGATTGTCTAAAATTGCAACTTCGCAGAGGTTAGATTTACCTCCCTTACACTTCCCCCCGCACCTCACCCCCCCAAAAAAGACAAGGAAACTTATTTCTGTATTTGAGGCAATCTGGCCCTTGGAGCTTGCTGTGCAGTTGCTATTTTGAAAGGACAAACGTCAGGATGGTTTTCACATCATTTCTTTATAAAGAAGGCTATTGTTGGCAGATACTTCACGTTTGTGCGTTCAGCTGAGAGCCTACTAAGTGCCACATACTGTTGCTCCTGACAGTATCCACACCTCACCTAGACATGTGTTATCACAGACATGCTGGGTAGCACACGGGCTGGAAGAGCTGAGGAAAGCTGCTGGGAGAAGGTAACATTTGAGTTAGAGCTAGTGAGTTTTTATTAAATGACCATCTAGGCTGCACCACAAAAGCCAGCTGGGTGTGCCGTCTGCTGCCAAGGGAGCTGGGTAGTGAGAGGCTCTGCCAGCGGGTTGGAGCTGCTGAAGCCTGTCCTGCCAGGTAGCTGTATTCATTGTGATCCTCATCTTTTCCCAGCTGAGAAACCTGCGGCAGTGGTATACTGAGGAGTTCAAAGACCCCCTGCTACAGAACCCCCCGGTGTGGTTTAAGTCCTTCCTGTTTTGCGAGCTTGTGTTTCAGCTGCCTTTCTTTCCTGTCGCAACATATGCCTTCTTCAAAGGTTAGTAAATGGGGAAATCCCATTTTTGCTCTGAAACCAGGTCCCAGAAATCTTTTGGGAAAGTTTTACCAAGGGAGAGGGGAGTGGTCCCTGGAGGCTGTATAAGGGTGATATAGGATTGGTGGGAACGGCCAGGATAGATCTTGTATAGGGACATTAATGTGGCTCAGGCTAGTGTCTGTGGTCAGCTGGGCTGCAGGACTGCCTCAGTCAACTGGAAATCTCTCACACACATGAAACCTGAGGCTACTTTCAAGTTTGAACTTGTTCCTATCGTCCCCCCCCCCCCCACCCCCCCAACAGAATTTCTTTTTTGTTGGTGCTTTTACTTTTCTGCTTTGGGTAGTATCATACTGCCTTTTAAGAAGTAGCATTAAGCTAATCTCTAAATGGCTTAACTTCTCACATAAAAATTATTCTTACAGTGTCCCCATGACGAATGCCTTTAAAAAGAAGGTGGCCATACCAGTGTTCATGCTAACTAAGCTTGTACAGCTTCTCTCCCACTGGAACCCCCAAGCCATCTCTTAGCAGAATCTCTTGATCCCTCTCACCTATATATAATTACTTAGCAAAGAGATGTTGCTGACAGGGCTGCCCCCGCCTCCTCCCCTTTCCCCAGCTGCATTTTAGACCAACCTGGTTTAACTAGTAATGGCGATTTAACTGCCCTAGAGTTTTTCTGA